TTCAAATGGAAAATGTGGAAACTAGTGCTTTTATCAATCAGCCAACACAAATCAGGCTGAAAACCAGCTGTAGAAATAACATAAGTTGAGGTAGACATGAACAGTGTTGTTAGTTTATTGATTTGACATAACTGGCTCTTCAGAAAGTGGAGAGGTTACAAATAATAAATCAGCTCAAATACTAAACTCTGTTAGAAAATAATACTGTTAATAATGGCACTTTTTGTGTGCTTTCTAATTTACAGTTTATGCAAACAGAAATGTATACAGTACACTTCAATTATTGAAAGAGGTCTACATTTAAATGGTGATAGACTTGTATCTTATTTTTTAAATAATTTAATAAATTCTTTGCAATTTTTTTACATCAGTAGGCTACTTTTATCTGTATATATACATTACTTTACCACTATTAATTCAAATGCAAAATAGATCAGCTCATATTTACAAAGCAATCAAAAACCTTCAGGAATTGAAATGGAAAGGCCCCACTTTTGATTTACTGGTGTTTGCTATGTTTTGAGAACTTGACCTATCAAAGATTTGGCCATAAAATTCCATATATTTTCACTACCCCATATGAAATTTTCTTTCAAGTACAGTTTCTAATGTTTGTGTCCATATGTTTTTATATTTGTACAAGCCCTGCAAAGCGGCTGTCCATTTGGGTATTTATTTTTAAAAAGTAAAATTGCTGTTGCCCATTTGGGTATTCATTTAAAAAAAAAAAAACACTACTAATCTAATATTAATGGAGAGTGAGTGCAAATACAGAAAGCATTGTCAGCCTTCCCCTAGAAAAGTAGTTGGGCAGTTTCATGTCATAAAGTCTATAGAGTAGCCAGGTTCACGGTTGAAAATAACAACCCAGTCTAATCCAGAAACATAAATGAGGGGGATGATACCCTGATATTTAAAATATTTCTGAAGATATATGCAATCATTCTTAACTTCATGCACACACACAATCTAAACTTTAAAACGGTCTTCAGATTTGTAGAATATGTTGAAGTAAACTGATTAATTTTTTTCATTAAAACAGCATCTATTGGACAACTTTGAGTTACAGTATCAAATCATTCTGATAAAACTGAAATTTTATAAAAAGACAATGGAATGGAACCTAGTGACGCTAAAACACAGTGAATGGTTCCACAGACAAAGCATGAGGTCCCATATAAAAGAGTAAAAGAGCAAAATGAAACATGAAAATCAAATTTCATAGTACATTAAAAGTGACACGAAATGATAATCTGAAGAGAGATTATAAAAGATCAATGGTGTGAAGCAAGGATTTTCATGTAAGTGGAAAAGGACAGAAATTAATGTGGCATTTTATCCATTACAAATGAAGAGGATGCATATTTGTGAAGATTAGGGATAAGATTATGTGGGGATATAAAATTGTAAGTGAACAAGGAAAGCAAATAGTGGAGTTAAAAAACTGATGCAGCTAAATCTCTAAGGCCATGTCTACACTAGGAAATTATTTCAAAAGTACTAAATTCAGCTTAAGAACTCCCAATTTAACAAATTCAAACTAGTGTTCTCACTAGGGGGAAATTAGTCAGAGGCATGTTTAGTTAATGTGGTAGCACTAACTTGGATTTAGAGCCCCAGGAAGCACTCTGGGGAGTAGCAGGAGGCCTCCGAGAGGCCAATAAATTCAAATTAGCAGCACTGGAACGTCCATACTGACGTTATTTCAAAATTACTATTTTGGAATTAGCGTTACTCTTTGTGAAAAGTAGGAGTACAGAGTTCAAATTCCATGGCCCCTTATTTTGAAATAATGGTCTTGGTAATGTGGATGCACCACTTTTAAATTCGAACTTGAAAGGGTTATTTCGGAATAAAGTCCTAGTGTAGACCAAGGCTAAGACAGCTATAACATTCTGGAAGTGCTTTTTAAAGAGGCATTCAATCTTGTGTGACTCTATAGTCACACTAGATAAGGTTGGTTTCTCTCCTAGAAATTCAGTGCCTTGAACTTGTGTAGCAACTGAATGCTGGACTGCACTTGTAGCAACTGTTACAGGACAGAAAAGAAAAGTTAATTCTTCTAGATGGGTATGTGAAGTTTTATTAGCTGTTCACTTGTTGGTGGGAATTATAGGAGGCAGACAGCAACAGTTACAAATTCTCAGAGTAGAAAAGGAAACCAATGATTTGCGAAAATGCTCGTCCATGGCCAGGTGAAAGCACAGGCAGTATAGGCTCTCAAACTGAGAGTAACTGGTACAGTGAAGTCTCCCTTAGTCTGCAGACAGCCTGAACAATAGCTCTTTAGAAGTATGAGGTGTCCCAATCATTTCAATGTGATGTTAACTCTAAACTCTATTGTTAACAAGCATAGATCTCCTCCTCTAAATAATTTTTTGCTATGTTGCCAGTTCTCTTCATGCTCCACTATCTCATTTCTGCCGCTCTACTCTGTACTAGTTAGGCCTCAGCTGGAGTACTGTGTCCAGTTCTGGGTGCCACATTTCAAGAAAGATGTGGAGAAATTGGAAAGGGTACAGAGAAGAGCGACAAGAATGATTAAAGGTCTAGAGAGCATGACCTATGAAGCCAGGCTTCATGAACTGGGCTTGTTTAGTTTGGAAAAACGAAGATTAAGGGGGGACATGATAGTGGTTTTCAAATATCTAAAAGGGTGTCACAAGGAGGAAGGCGAAAATTTGTTCCTCTTGGTTTCTGAGGACAGGACAAGGAGTAATGGGCTTAAAGTGCAGCAGGGGAGGTTTAGATTGGACATTAGGAAAAAATTCCTAACTGTCAGGGTGGTCAAATATTGGAATAAATTGCCAAGGGAGGTGGTGGAATCTGCCTCTCTGGAGATATTTAAAAACAGGTTAGATAGACATCTGTCAGGGATGGTGTACACGGAGCTTGGTCCTGCCTTGAGGGCGGGGGGCTGGACTCGATGACCTCTTGAGGTCCCTTCCAGTCCTATTATTCTATGATTCTATGATCGTCTTGAAACTAGTTTCAGAAATGGAACTCTGATAAATGATTTGTCTGAAAATAGAGGAACACAAACACCTCTTTTTGTCATTGCAACTTTATCCTCTCTCAACTCCAGCTTCATTCTGTACAGGATGCTCTTTCCCAAGAGTTTGCTGGCCATGTTCTATCAAGTGCTACTTGTCCTAAAAAGTCCAGACTATCAACTTTAAAAAATGCATTTAACTTCCTTTGCAGCATTTGTAAAGTCTTAAATGTCATGCCATTTATTTGCTGTAGATGTCTTGTAAACAACACCACAATGTTATGAGCACAGGAAAATATGAAGGCAATTTGAGGAACCAGGTGTGTCAAGGACACAAAACTCTTGGTGGCTCTATTCTGCCGGCTCTCAATATGTTTAAAAATCAGAAGCACAGCGGGGGGGGGGGGACCCGGTGCGAGTCGGGCCAGCTCATTCCCCCACTGCACTCCAGCCTTTTTACATTTACCAGCTCTTAATACATTTAAAAGGCAGAGCTGCAAAGGGGGTTAGCTCTCAGGGTTAGGAGCTAACCCCGCTATGGCTCTCCCGCTTATTGACTAATTGACTAGTCGATGAAAAATCCATTGACTAGTCGATTAGTTGATTAAACTAAATTTAACATCCCTGTGAAAGGGATTAATATGATTGAGCTGAACAGTCCTTCAAGTGGTTTACTATACAGGGGAATAAACATAAAATTATTTTGGGCAAAAGTCTTAAAATAAGTAATTAATAAAAAAAATATAAACAATATACGAAAAAGAACAGTAGAGACACCAACCTGTTCTTGGGAGAGCTGAATAAATTACTATCCAGAAAATAGAAGCGGAGACAGGTGTGTGGAGGAATAGTATTGAAGTGGGGAAAAGGAGAAAGACATGGTAAATGGATTGTGAGCCATTTTTCCTGTCTCATGTACAGTAGTTTGTAATCAATAAAGAGAGAGACAAAAACCTGGAATAGAGAGTATGGTGAAATGGTACTATGAACCAGCTAAAAGGGTTTTAAAGTTATTCTCATTTCTTTTGCAACATAATCTTGCTAATCTGCACTTTGGTAAACTATATATCCACACTAATGTGGAATTTTAGTTTTGCAGTTTTACTTCTAAACCCATGGAATTCTGCTACTGTATTGATACATGGCCAGTTTTGATGATATCACGTTCCCCAAAAGCCAGCAGGAGAGGACTAATTCATCTTCTGGCCTCTCTGCTGTCTATACTCAAGTGAGGGCACTTACAATTAGCCATTGGATCAGTGCTCTCACCAAACATTTTGGTCCCAAAACCTCTCTAATTTGCCCTCTCCTGTTTGTGCAGGTCAACGAGGTTCCACTATTTGTATTTGCAGCATCTCTGTTTTTCAAATACTCTCCCAACTGTGAAATTTGGCAATCTGCACTGAATTTCTTTATTGCTATTGCAAATTAAGAGAATTGAATTGATACCATGCATCCTAGAGTCATGTTGCAAGGAGTTCCTCTTCTAAATATTTAGCAAGTAACTAATGCTGGTTGGAATTAATAACTATCCATTTTAAATATTCTGTTGTGGATTAGTTTCCGCCCTTCCTTACCTGGCTGTTGCTGTATTAAATAAAATACAAATTATTTTTGTTTATGTAAAACAAAGCAGTTTCAAGTGGTTAAATTTAGATGCTAAAATGTTTAAAAATACTAGAAGCTATAGATTTTGCTTTTCGTTCTGCTTTACATTTCCTGTTACTTCATGTGCTATAATTTTGATGTTTAAAAAGTAAAATAGTGATAACTGAGCCTAGTTTAAGAATGACTACTCATAGTCTAACACATTTTAAAGGAAGCAACACATTGTTCTGTTCAAGGAAAAGAGTAACTTATGAGACTTATAAAGGGTTCCAGGTCCTCGCCCATTTTAAAACAATATCTAGATTGAAAAGCTTTTTCCTCCCAATGTTGAACAATGTCCTGTGATTAAAGAGACTCAGTTTATTACTATCATAAACATATCCCTTAAAAATGCAAAATGTTCATTAGAAACATATTTATTTGTGTAAGATAATTCACTCTAGTTACACAACCTTTTGTGAACCATAACACTTAGCCAAACACTCTTCAATAGTGTACATTTTGCTTTCACTCTGACTTCATGAACCACTGTATCCTTCATTTTAATAAGAGCAAATGTCTCTTCATTCTCTTAAAATAGTTAATAAATATTTCTGAACCATTGAAATGTTTTTATGACACACAGAGAGCAATGAAAACATAAATGCACGTTTGTTATTTGTTACCTTTAGGAAGATTTGATTTGTCAAAGAAGTTAAGATGTAGCTAAGTCTGTATGAGAATATCTTTTCTTAGAATTACATTTTAGGTTCCTCTTCCCTTCTTTGAATAAGGGATAGGAAGCAAATTAATTAAATACTAAAGAAACTAATAATTAGCACTTCACAATTAAAACTTGTATAGTTGAACACTCTGATATTCTGCAGAGATCATCTTCACCAAGAATAGCTGTTCTTTTAAAATTAAAACAATTGTGTTCCTTTATGGAAAGTAAAATACTACTTTTTTTCTTGTACAAGATAACAAAGTGCTATGTATTCAATCAGGGCTTCATTTAAGCTCTTAGTGATTTCTCCAGACAGGATTATTAGAACTGTGAAGACAAAGAACATGTTTTTTATCTGACTCAGTGCATTGAAAATATTGGAAAACACAGGGATGATTATAATATGTAGATAGACTCTTAAGAGACTTTTTGCAACATTTTTTACACTCTGTAGATTTTAACCTGTAAATTATATATTTATAATGGAAGTTCTTTTCAAGCCTCCTTCTTAGGTGCTCCCATATATAATATTTCAAGATAGACAAAACTTTGTCACAAATTGAGTACAGAATACAAAACACTGCAGTAATTGAGCACCATTGGATTCTTTCATACCTACGTCATAACTTGCTGTACTACTGTGCTTTCATGAGAACATCTTTGATTTCCACAGTGTATTCTTTTAAGCAGCCGTCGTAATTTGTGGGGAAAGTTTTTGTTAATAGATCGGTAGAGTAGAGGCATCACAAAACTACTTGAGAAAGCCAACAATTTTGATAAACTCTCGATAAAAGTTAATATTCGGATGTAATTTTCATCTGTAAGTGTTCCTTGTGCATTAATAAAAGTATTTACTAAAAGAGTTACATAGTAGGGGGTCCATAATGTAAACTGTGTACAGACTGTAGCAATCAAAAGCCTGTGCACTGAAGGATCTAATCTTCCAGTGTCTTGGTCCAGTGGTGTAGTCTCATTACGAATTCGCAAAATTAACACAAGTGCATACAGTACAGCAATAACTGGTACGACATACCCAATAAAAACCATAATGGCATCTGCTGCTTCTTTGTTTTGCATCTTGGAACATTCAATTATTTTAGTGGATACGTGATTGCAAACGTAGAATAAGAGAGATGAGAAACTTGTAAGCATAGCTCCTCCCCAGATGAATCCACATACATGTTTAGTGTTGTACACGCTTGACATGTAAGTTCTTGGTAAAGCACGTTCAATGTAGTAATCCAGGCTGAGCAATGTAGTAGAGTACATGATAACTAAAGATGAAACATTGAATAAAATGAGTAATGTAATATAAACTTCATTGTTAAAATTCCAGATGGCCCATTTTGTATTGCCAGGTCCTAGAAGGTACATTGGTGCCATGCCACTGATGATCAGGCCAGCAATTGCAATATTGACAAAGTAAACATCTGGCATTGTCATAGTTGCTTTGTTACAGAGATTGACTAGGACCAGCAGGGCATTGTAACAAAGGCCAACTGGAAAACAAATGATGAGGTAGAGTAAGGAAAAGATGAAAAGAACCAGATGGAAGTCATGGCAGAGATTCTGGTTCTCGCTGTTCTTGGTATCATTGACAGCTTCACAGCTCCACATAGTGATCTTAACTTTTGTATCTTCCCTTCTGATTACCAGCTTTTCTGAAGGGAGAGAAATAGCAAAGGTAAATAAATTGTTCATGTTTTAAATTCTAAATAAAATTGAATCTAAGCTTGAAGAAAACATATTACACACAACATGTGATCATTTTATGTGCTACAAATGGTTAAAGTGCATGGGTGGTTGTTAGTCTAGGATCTGGAGAAGGTCCAGAGAAGAGCAACAAGAGTGATTAAAGGCCTAGAGTACATGACCTATGAAGGACGACTGAAAGAATTGGGCTTGTTTAGTTTGGAAAGGAGAAGACTGAGAGGGGACATGATAGCGCTTTTCAGGTATCTAAAAGGGTGTCACGAGGAGGGAGGAAAATTGTTCTCCTTGGCCTGTGAGAATAGGACAAGAAGCTATGGGCTTAAACTGCAGCAAGGGAGGTTTAGGCTGGACATTAGAAAAAACTTCCTGTCAGGGTGGTTAAACACTGGAATAAGTTGGCTAGGAAGGTAATGGAATCTGCATCTCTGGAGATATTTAAGAGTAGGTTAGATAGACATCTGTCAGGGATGGTGTGACGGCGGGTTGGGGGTCCCCCGTCTCCTGCACCCCGAAATGGCACAAACAGACTGCACCAGCCAGTGGAATAGAGGAAGTTTATTGCCTCTCCAGGATACAGCACAGCACAGATGTAATCTGGTCACAGAGCTGTGCTAGGATGCCTCAGGCCCCCTTGAGATCGGGGAGACTGGGCCCCTAAACTCCAGCCCCTTTCCCTAGGCTGTCTCCTCCATGCTCTCAGACAGCCACTCACTAACTCTCTTCCAGCCCTGCCCCCCAGCCAGGGCAGCATTCAACCTTCCTTTGTTCCTCTCCATGGGGGGTGTCTGGCCATACTGGTTTGCATAGTGACTCATCCTGTTTTGCTGGGTCGTGGTACCCACGGCAGCCAGTGGGGGTTACCCCAGAGCCAGCAGCATAGAAACCAGCCAGGTACCCCCACTACGTCACAGATGGTTTACGATGCTTGGTCCTGCTGTAAGGGCAGGAGACTGGACTCAATGACTTCTCAAGATCCCTTCCAGTTCTAGAGTTCTATGATTCTAGGGAAAAAAAATTTATGGCTCAGAATTATGTTTTTGTAATTTGAATAGATGTGTGGAATTCTTAATATTAGTTAGTGTGTGTGTTTGTATTTCGAGTTACCATATCCATCATACTAATTAATTTGTTATAGAGCATGCAACAGATATTAATACATAAGCTATACCTCTTGTACAATGCATTTGAGTATTATTCAAGGTCAGGATAGATCATAATGGAAGGTGGGACCAAATTAGGCCAATAGTGAGATGGACCAAGACCACAGAGAACTTGGAAAACTAATGTATATTTTCTAGTAATGTACCCAAATTAAGGCCTCAGGTCAATGAATAATTACCCGATGATTTCAGTAGGACCACATATGTAAGTATAATTATGGTTCATTGTTTGGAGGATTGGGGCCCAATTCATTAATTTCTACTTTACTTCGGTAGAGAATAATTTTTAAAAGTATAGGGTTTTTTTGGAATAGCCTTTTAAAATATTCCTTTCTTAATTTCCACATTTAGCATGGTTTAGAATTTTGCCCCTAATTAACATTGAAATCACTGCAGTTGTGTCAAATATTGCACTATATTACATTTATAATATGTATTTCAAAAAAGGAATGCATTTCTTATAAATTATGGTGGTAGTAATATCTCTTCCATAATATTAAAGAGTGTTATCTTACCATGAAAAGCCTGTTATGAGGATATGGTAGGAATTCAGAAATGTTTAATGTCTAGAAACTTGAAAGACATCTCTGAGATACATGTTTCACATTTCTACTTTTCCTAACTCATACAGAATGTACATAAAAGGTCCTTATTATTTTCAGCAAAAAGAAAATATTGAAGTCAGCACTTCAAATATAATCAAGTAATGTATACACTGACACTAAATACACATTGTAATGTTATCAGAGATGGGTAATCAGGACAGTCTGACTTTTATTCATCTTTCCTCTTCTGGAATTGCTTAACCTCTTTAAAAAAGGAAGTCTGATCTTTAATATCTTTAAAAAGAATCCTGTACTCTAGAGTTTGCCCAGCTACTGCATTCTTAATAAACTTAAGGATAACTCTTCTACTGAAACCAGTTTTTATCTAAGCACAAACCTAAATGGAAGCTATGAGTTGCAAAAGTATGGAAATAATTTTCCTATAATGTTGAAAAATAAAAATATTCCTGGCTGTGGTATCAGCACTGGTATTCCCACAGGACCCCCTAGTTTTTATGTAGGACTCCCCATGGAAGTAAATGGGGAGTTCTGTTTAAAGATTGCTGACATCTGTCCCAGAGGCTGGATATCTTCATGGTGGTGATCTTACATGTCAGACACACAAAGGGATAGTTAGATTCTCATCATTAGTTTAAATTCCTGGTTTCTAATACTGGAGAGGGAGTGGGCACGCTTTATAGAAAGAAATAAAAAGGAGACCAGGTTAATCAAGGTTATTCTTATTGATAAACTAGGCAAATATAACTTAGATAGGGCCACGATAAGGTGGGTGCATAATTGGCTGGATAACCGTAGTCAGAGAGTTGTTGTTAACGGTTCTAAATCCTGCTGGAAAGGGATAACAAGTGGAGTTCCTCAAGGGTCTGTTTTGGGACCCGTACTGTTCAATATCTTCATCAATGATGTAGATATTGGGATAGAGAGTACTCTTATTAAGTTTGCAGATGATACCAAACTGGGTGGGGTTGCAACTTCTTTGGAGGATAGGGACATAATTCAAAATGACCTTAGCAAGTTAGAGAAATGGTCAGAGGTAAACAGGATGAGGTTTAATAAGGAGAAATGCAGAGTGCTCCACTTAGGAAGGAACAATCAGTTCCATACATACAAGATGGGAAGCGACTGTCTAGGAAGGAGCATGGCGGAAAGGGATCTAGGGGTCATAGTGGACCACAAGTTGAATATGAGTCAACAGTGTGATGCTGTTGCAAAAAAAGCAAATATGATTTTAGGTTGTATCAACAGGTGTGTTGTAAGCAAAACTCGTGAAGTCATTCTGCCGCTCTATTCTGCACTAGTTAGGCCTCAGCTGGAGTACTGTGTCCAGTTCTGGGCGCCACATTTCAAGAAAGATGTGGAGAAATTGGAAAGGGTACAGAGAAGAGTGACAAGAATGATTAAAGGTCTAGAGAAGCCTATGAAGCCAGGCTTCATGAACTGGGCTTGTTTAGTTTGGAAAAAAGAAGATTAAGGGGGGACATGATAGTGGTTTTCAAATATCTAAAAGGGTGTCACAAGGAGGAAGGTGAAAATTTGTTCCTCTTGGTTTCTGAGGACAGGACATGGAGTAATGGGCTTAAAGTGCAGCAGGGGAGGTTTAGATTGGACATTAGGAAAAAATTCCTAACTGTCAGGGTGGTCAAATATTGGAATAAATTGCCAAGGGAGGTGGTGGAATCTCCCTCTCTGGAGATATTTAAGAACAGGTTAGATAGACATCTGTCAGGGATGGTGTAGGTGGAGCTTGGTCCTGCCTTGAGGGCGGGGGGCTGGACTCAATGACCTCTCGAGGTCCCTTCCAGTCCTATGATTCTATGATAAGTGTGTGCTAAAGATGTCACAATTGAAATGAATGTCACTAGACAACATGTTTAACTGAATGAACTGCACACGACTGAATTACACAATATGAGTTTTATAAACACAGTAGGGCCACATTTGGCTCCCAGATTCAAAGGTGTAACTCAATTGTCAAAAGAGTTGCACAGAATTTGACTCTGAGTCTGTAAGGTTTAATCCCCAAATCTATTGCTGTTGGTTAGTGTGTGTGTTTGTATTTCCAGTTACCATATCCATCATACTCCTGCAGCAAGAATCAATCTAAAAATAAAATTTTCTTAATCTTTTCACTTGCTTTTAAGAATTCACTTTTCTCACCTAAACTTTTTTCAGCGGAAGTACAAGGTAAATGTTTAATAACTGTTTAATCCTTGCTTCCATCATCATTGTTTTAAATTAGTCTTATTTTCCCAGTGTGTTTTTTCCTTTAGTGTGTTCATAAGCTATAGCATACAATATTATGTAGCTTGTTTGTTGTCTTTTGAAGCGCTGTATTATCTTTGAAAATCTAAAGCAGTCTAGTTTCTTGTACAGGAAGTGTACACTATTTTAAATATGTTGAAATAATTGCTGGTGACTGCAACCACAAATCAACTCATACATTTCAGTGAGTTCAACCAATTTTGCAGACTGAGCGCTAGACACCTATGTATACCACTGCACCAATGTGGAACCCTATGCACTGCAATAAAATTATGTATAAACATGGGTTTGCCCAGACAAATCCGTTTTGTAGGATTTTTCTCTAAATGGCTAATAGTAATTACCCCAGACTACATTACATCAGACACAAAGTACTTTGCTTTCTGTTGTCTTATTCAGAAGAGAGTGTAATTTTATCTGCACTTTTACTATGTGATTCTGCAAATGTTTAAAGATACACCATTATGTTTATATAATTAAATTTAAATGTAATGCTATAATTTTAGGGAGGAGGTTGTCCAGTCATTTTCTTATGACATTACAGAACTAATTAGAAATGGATATAAATGAACTGATTCTAAAGTCCATAATCAACATATTTCCTGCAGAAATGTTGTTGAAAGGTGTCTTAACTATTAGAGGAACTACTTTTTTGGAAACAAAAGCACTTGTTTTTTAAACATGCTTGTTGTTCACATGAGAAACTACTGTACCTATTAGACATGTAACTATAGTGCTCAATCTGCATTCCTTATTCTTGATCATTTCAAAAGGAGTTTTGCCTTAGACTGTAGGCTTGAGTCTTTAGGGTACTTGAAATTTAGTTGTATCTCTTGATAAATCTGAAGAAGTTATTACTCAGTTTTAGATCAAGTCTGATGTGTAAGTAAAATCCTATACTTCCCCAGTACATTGTATTTTGACTGTCTTCCCCAAATGTCTTCCTCTCCAGCTTCATTTTTTACATTAGTATTATATTTAAATGTAATGCCTAGTTCTGATTTAATAATAAAAACTCCTCCTTGCCCACTGCTCAGAAATTTCTTCGTCTTTCACTTTCTCCTGACCCCAACTTTATTTCATTAGTTTGTTGTAAAACCTTTTAAATTCTTACCTTCAGTTCATGTTGCACATTCCTTTGTACTTCAAGGTCCAAACACGGTTGGTAAGTAACATTTCGGAGGAAGGAAGTAGACTAGAAAGGGTTGTCTTGTTCCTCTTTGAAAACATTGTGCTCTACTATCAGCAGAACACATACAGCATGGTATTTTCTGTGCGTGTGTGCTGCACTTGTTTTTCCTCTAGTAAATTACTCACAAAGTTTCTGCTTCACTTGGCAAGCTGCTGTGGCTCCTCCCTTGCTCTGTTTACAGCCATTTTCAAGAAATGAGAAGCTGTGCTCAGTGGGAGTGGACTGTTGAATAAACTCCTAATGTTAGGGCTTCTTGTTTACTACTAAAACATATAGATTCCTGGAGCGCTAAGGCTTGTTTGGTGTTTAGACACTTACTTTTGCATTTTTTTCTTCCCATTTCAGAACTTACTACTTTCTCATTAAATGGAAGATTTAACTCACTTGGCAGCAGTGTTTTGACTTTCAGTTTAAGGGGTTTCTTTGGTAGGGGACGCATCCTAGATAAGCATATCTAAATACAGATTACAAAATGTTCACATGTCCCTGCAACTTACATAAGAAGCAGCATGTATTCTGAGTTAATAAGAACAAATTCAAAAAGTTTACCTTCAATTTAGAGATGGAAAATATAAAAGGCATTATAGTGAAATGTTAATGCATATTATTGAATATAGAATTTCATGTTGCAATGACTTTGTGAACACGTTTAAAAAACCAGAAAATGGAAAAAATAGTATTTTCAAAGCCTCTTTAATTCACCTCCTAATTGTCTGTGTATTTACAAGGTGATTGAGGTAAAATCTTTTTGGTCCACCTTCTGTGGATAAGAGAAACAAGCATGTGGATGGATGGATGGACAGACAGACCGATTTTTCTTAAAAATGAGTATTTCTGAGAGCTGACCTGTGGTTTAGCAATTTATTTTATATTTCATTTTTACTTTATCTGTTCTTTTGTTTGTACAGAAGCTGCTCAGACTATTAAAATAAATTTCCCAGAAGAGGCAGAACAGAAAGATTTATTGCAAAAAATATGCTATTGCCTGGTTTTAAATGTACATTTTAATTGACAGTATCAACCGAAGCAAAACACTGTTTTACTTTTTCTTCACTTACTTTATAGCTATGCTGCAGATGCTTTGGTTTCCCTGATTGCTTTTTAAGGATTTATTTGTTTACATAGATTTTGAGGTAGTTAGCTAACAGGGTTTCAAACAGTGACATTTTCCATTTTGATTGTGTCATTTGACTTAAACTGAAATGTCAACCATGAGACACTGGAATTTTTGCTGTGTAAACTCAGAATCTTTTGTCTAGAAAATATTCATTTGCTTAAACTATAGATTTATCATAGATGTGTGAAACAACTACCAAAACCCGAATGTGAGCTTTGATAACTCATTCACAAGTTTAGAAATATGGATTGGCAATTACATCTAACCGGTATATTAATCACATGTACTTTTAGGTCTAGGACTCTTGCACATTACTACCTACTCAATCCTGCATTATTTAGAAGTCTGTAAATTCCTGTTGACATTATAGAGAAAAAAAAAACCAATATTGTATAATGTGAGTGAAGGCACAAAGCATCTTACTGGACTGTATAGAATTTCTTTAGACTAGCTTGAGATGATTGAAAAAGAATCGTCAGAAATGTTGCACTTGTACTATAATCCTAGCTTGAGGTAATCAAGTGTTTGTAAGTACTGTATTTTGAGAATGTAAATGCTCAATATTATTGATTGTAATTATGGTGTTTGTTTACAGAATTACTAGTCACTAGTCCAGTGGTTCCCAAACATTTTCATGCTGCAACCCTTTTTGCACGGAGGAGTTGGGGTAGGGATAAGTGCTACCACTTGCTCAAATTTGGTATAGCCAACCCCTGTCATGGTGGCTCTACAAAACCTCAGCAGTGCCTCAATTCCTGTGTCCCAAGAGCCAGAGAGGGAGCCCAGCTTAGCCAGTCACATGGGACAGGAGCTGCTTCATCTGGAATGGGGTTTTGTGGGTCAAAGAGTTTGGGATGCTTTCCCTTCAATGGGTTTTTTCATGACCTATGCTGGGGGCATGTCCTGAAGTTTGGGAAACACTTCACCAGTCACTTTTTTTTGTTTGTTTTAATAAAAGTTTTACCCTAGAAAGAAGAGACAGTCCTTGCTAGTAATTGAGGAAGGCTAGGCAATCAGGATAGAAGACAGTGATTACGTTGGGTGCCATTATCACCAAGCCTGATAACCAGTAATCTCTTGAATGTTTATTTGTCATGCTAGAGGGATTAACAGAATAATAGTTTGCTGGACATATAAGAAGGCATGGTTTAAAACTACATGGAAATAGCTATATTCCATAAAACACCTTGTAATTGTAAGGACAATGGCCCCTAGGAAGCACAAGTAAAATGCCTTTGACATTACTGCAGAGAAAAATCCTGCTTGATGCAGGGTGTTGACCTGAGTAATCCAAGAGCCCTCTTCCAACCCTGTCATTTATGATTATGTGATGCAGCTGATGACCAGTTTATTGGGTGAGGTGCTTGTAATTGTATGATATGAGACTGGTGGTGTAAAGTAGTAAATTTGGTACAGTATAAGAGAAGCAAAGAACAAATGACTTATTTACAAAATACTTCTGAATCTAATAATATATTGCAGGTTTCAAAAATACAAGCAAAAAGACCACAGTTGGCCACAAGGGGAAACAAACTAATTTATCCACAGCTCTTGTAGTCATTACTTATTTTGGCCCAATCTTATGAAATGCTGAACGCCTTCAATTCACTGCTAAGACTTTATTTGAAATAATGTGTACAATTTTGGTCACCCATGTTCAAGAAAGACAAAATTAAAGTAGAACAGGTAGAGAAGAGCTAATAGGATGATTAAAGAAATAGGCAGGCCTCTCATATGAGAGGAGACTGAAAGAGCTTGGTTTGTTTAGAAAAATTAAAGCCAAGAAGGGATATAATTGTTCTCTATGAATACACTGGGGAGGGGATTAACGACCATAGAAGGGTGAAGAGCTGTTTAAGCTAAAGGACAATGCTGGCACAAGAATGAATGGATATATACTGCCCATGAAGAAATTCTTGTTGGAAATTAGAAGGTTTCCAACCATCAGAGTAGTACGGTTCTGGAACATCTTCCCAATAGGGATTGTGGAGGCAACAACTAATTTAAAGAGAGAGCTGGACAAGTGTAGGAGTATGATTGTATGGTGGAGTTGCTTGTGATGGTAGGACATAGGACTCACTTCCAGTTTGTTTTATGTTCTAAACCACTGTTGCCCACCACTGGAGTTGAGACATAAGTCAGGGTGGGCCGAGCCTTTGAGGAGGCATCAAGTATTCTCTCTTTGGCTAGTTCTTGCTTATATGTTCAGGTTCTGATAGCTACACCTGAAACAGGGAAGGAATTTTTCTCTACTCAGATTAGCAGTTATCTTTTTTTTCCCCCACCTTCCTTTGCAGCATGAGGGCGTGGGTCACTTGCCAGGATTATCTGGATATATCTCAATTAATCAGTTCCCACTAGGGCAGTCATGTCAAACATGTGGCCTGCAGGCCACATGCGGCCTGAAAATTCAAAGTGTGGCCCACCTGGTTACATTGTGTATAAGAGGGGTGGCCAACCCACGGCTCTTTGATCAAAGAAATGCGGGTCCTGCTGGTTCTAAGCCACGCACCTGGACTGCTCATGGCCAGCCGCTCTGCGCACGCGTCCCAGAGCCTGCTCACGGCTGGCTGTTCTGTGCATGCATCCCAGCGCCTGGAGGGAGAAGCACATGGCTGTGGCGGCTCCGGGGCCCAGGCATTAGGTTAGAACGGGGGAAGGGAGGAGGGGCTGGGAGTGCATGGCTCTAGGGGAGGGGTGAGGCATTGGGTTAGAACAGGCCGGAGGAGGGGGAGGAGGCTGGGAGTGCCTGGCTCTGCGGGAGCGAGGGGGGATTGGGTTAGAATGGGGGACTGGGGGTGCCTGTGTCTGGGGGAGGGAGGAGGCTGGGAGTGCCTGGCTCTGCGGGAGCGAGGGGGGATTGGGTTAGAATGGGGGACTGGGGGTGCCTGTGTCTGGGGGAGGGAGGAGGCTGGGAGTGCCTGGCTCTGGGGAAGCGAAGGGGGATTGGGTTAGAATGAGGGGCTGAGGGTGCCGGGGGAGATAGGGGATTGGGTTAGAGCAGGGAGGCTGGGGGTGCCTGGCTCTCAGGAGGGGGAGGGCATTGGGTTAGAGGGGGGGCTGAAGCACCTTAATCTCAAAATTTTCATGGATGCAAATAACAATTTTACACATCAAATTATTGTATTATATTCAAACAAGACCTGAAGAAATATTATAAAATATACCTAAAACATAATCTATATTAATAAATAATTACGACTTTCCAATAGAAGTGCATTTTCTTTGGTGGCCCTGAAAGCTAAAAGCTCAGTAGGCTTCAAGTTTCACATGCCTGCACTAGGGATACGAACAGATAACCAGTTAACCCGTTCTCCAGGAACAGACTCCACCTGTGAAGGGTTGCTGTGGGCCCAGCCTACAAACCTGGGGCCAGGAGGCTGGCGGCCCTGTAGCCAGCCCCTCATAGGCTGGGGCAGGAGCCCCACTGACTGGGGACTACTCCAGCCGAGCTAGAGCAGTTCCTCACCTGGGATCCCACTTAAGTCAGTTCTGGGTTAACCTAAAGTTTAACCAATGAACTGATTGTTTGGGATTTTACATCCCTAATTCCCACCCATTCAGACAATGATGCATTTCAGTACTTCCTGTTCTGTGACAGAGAATAGTGCAGTCTTCCATGAGCTGTGATACACTGGTCTAATTTTAGTTGATGTGTTTCATATGTAGGTGGTGTTGGTGGTCTGTGATATGCAGAAGGTCAAATTAGGAAATCTGGTGGTTCTCTTGTAAACAATATGACTAATTCTGTAACACTTATTTTTATTTAAAAAATAAAACCTCCAAATTGTATGTATTAACTAATATATGCATGCTTTTGTTTCTGTAACTGTGACATTTATCTCCTCTTCCCTAGTAGTCTTGTGCCTGCTAGTCCTTATTTAATAAGATTGTCAACTTTCAGGGAATTTATATATGTAGTACAGGTGCAGGCAAATGGGGCTGCAAACATTACTGAGTCTTGTTAAGACATTCCTATAATTATTTCGGTAGAGAGAAAATCTATAAATGATGGGAAGG